CCCTAGAGGGGCTCACCTGGCGCAGCTGATAGCGCTCATGGTCGGCCTTCGCCGACTGGGTGCGCATGGTATTCCCTGGGCTCGCCATGTAAGTCAGATAGAAAATGTTTCTTAAGTTGGAATGTGTTTGCGGAAGCGATGGAGTGCTTGACTCCGAGGTCGTTTGACCGGTTGGTCTAAGATACCAAAATTGTAACAAAGCTTGCAGTTGGCAAGCAGTTGCGAAAAAGGAAATTATCCAACGATAAAAAGGTGGTATTGATAAATACCGTTTGGTATTGGAAGATTATGAATAGTTCTTGGATGTACCGTTGGTACGATACCGTTGGCCCGGTGAGCCAAGGGCCGCCTTAGCGGCGTTACACCGAAGATTTCATCGGAAGTCGTGCGGCCCCGTCTCGATACCATTGTAACAAAGCAAAGGCGTAACCCGGGATGCTCAGTTGGGCCTTGCGTCGTTACAATGAGGCCATCTATGGTGAGAGCGCCGCTTGTATAGAAATGTGCACATCTCAATTGGTGGCTCACTATATGCTTGAATCAGACCATTCAATCACACGTAGCGTCAAATAACAACTTACTCTTATTTCGTCCGTCTGCAGATATCTGCCGTCGCAGCCTAGACATCGAGCGCCCGACCTACACCAACCTGAACCGTCTGATTGCTCAGGTCATCAGTTCGCTGACGGCTTCTCTGCGCTTCGATGGTGCCCTTAACGTCGATGTCACTGAGTTCCAGACCAACTTGGTGCCCTACCCTCGCATTCACTTTATGCTCAGCTCGTACGCTCCTATCATTTCCGCCGAGAAGGCTTACCATGAGCAGCTCTCGGTTGCTGAGATTACCAACGCTGCGTTTGAGCCAGCATCTATGATGGTGAAGTGCGACCCACGCCACGGCAAGTACATGGCCTGCTGTCTGATGTACCGTGGCGACGTGGTGCCCAAGGATGTGAACGCCGCTGTGGCCACAATCAAGACGAAGCGCACTATCCAATTCGTGGACTGGTGCCCAACCGGCTTCAAGTGCGGTATCAACTACCAGCCGCCTACCGTTGTGCCGGGTGGTGATCTGGCCAAAGTGCAGCGCGCAGTGTGCATGATTTCAAATAGCACTGCCATCGGCGAGATCTTCAGTCGCCTCGACCACAAGTTTGATTTGATGTACGCCAAGCGTGCCTTCGTGCACTGGTACGTCGGTGAGGGTATGGAGGAGGGTGAGTTCTCCGAGGCCCGCGAGGATTTGGCTGCTCTTGAGAAGGACTTCGAGGAGGTCGGCGCCGAGTCCGCCGAGGGTGCTGGTGAGGGCGAGGGCGAGGAGTACTAGAAGATGACTGGGCCTCGTACTTGAAACAAACTGTGTAACAATATGAGCTAATGAGTTTACGTCTCATTTGTTAAATGACCCTGCAGGAAGCCAGTACAGATAACTAGCTTCGTGTGTTAGCAGTCCT